TTGAACTGCCTTCCATAAGAGATCTTCAATTAGGTTAACGAAAAAAAAATTCGGTGAGCAGAAGTTCTTATGAACCCGACCTCAACATGTTTAAACTTGCACTGACCAGACAGCAGCCAGCTTTAGTATCAGTCATAATACATTAATCGGTTCTAGGGCTTAAATTCCTTACTATTTTAGTAAATATCAAAGAAGTTTATACTATTCAATAATTTTAAAAAGTTTAATATTAAATTTTTTTAGTCATTTTAACAATTGTGTGAACAAAATTGAAAGGTAAAAGTGACTAGTTTAATGGCTGGCATCCAGCCTCTTAACACAGCAAACAGGCGTCAGTCTCTCTCTGGTTTCACTGGAGGTAACATTTTTGCTTGAGATATCTTCAACTAAGCAGCTTTTTCTGTGTTTCCAGGCAATTATTGGTCATTTTGAAATTTATTTTACATATTGACAATATATAGTGCAGTGCAGTGTTATTTTAAGAAAAATATTCTTTATTTACAGCTAGTTTAACTTTGAAAAATCGTGTTACCATTGTTTAGCGAATCCAGCATGGGGCCCTAAGAGATCAGAAAAGCAATTCAATCCAAATAAAGCGAAATAATAAAAAACACGAACAAGGCATTAAATCAAATCGCTATGCAAGGAGATATGGCATTATAGAAAATAACAATAGGCAATTCTTGCCTAAAAGACAAATTTAAAGAGTGAGCGTGAGAGACAAATCTACAAGAGTGTTTAAAAAGTAGATACCTAATCGTAGAAACTGAGGTTACTTATCATCTGGATTGGGGAGAAAACAGATGAAGGTGATTCAGTTTCTGGTGAACATTTAATGAAAAGAGCCAAGGACATTTATAACATTTAAAGGCAGATCAACCTGGTTCTTCAGGAACAGAATTTGAAGATTTTCGAGGCTATAAGAAACTGGTTCGAAAAATTTAGAAAAAAAGAAGTAGAGCATTTAAGTGTTGTTAGGCATGGGTAGGCTGCTAGTGCTGATAAAGAAGGGGCAGCAAAGTTTTAGTTGAATTTAAAAACTGATGGAAGAAAGAAAATTATCTTCACAGCAAGTGTTCAATGTGGACGAAACTTGGGCTGTTCTGAAAAAGATGCCCAAAAGAACATTCATCACCAAAGATGAAGCCTCTTTACCTGGGCATAAACCCATAGAAAGACAAATCTCACTCTATTTAGCGGGTGCCAATGCTTCAAAGTTTCGACTAGAAGCCTATGCTATCTACCACTCTGAAGCAGGGTGTTCAGAAGCAACAGAAAGTGTGACTAAGAACAAAGCTTGGGTTGTGGAAGTCCAACATAGGCATGGGGTGTGGGTGATTCTTTGTGAATGGGCTGTTGATGTGTTTGCCTGTCAAAACTACCTAACCACCAATAAGCTTCCTTTAAAGGCTCTTCTCCTCATGGATAATGATCCTGGTCATGACCCTGACCTTGCCAGCAATTTGGAGTATCAGATTTGACTTTGTGAAAGTGTTGTTTTTGCCTCCAAACACTACATCACTCATACAATAATGGACAGAATGTAATCAACAACTCAAGAAGTTGTACATGAAGAAAATGTTTAGGAGGTGTCATCCAGGCAACTTCCTTGATCTCGAACTAACACTGAAACAGTTCTGGAAGACACAATTCAACGTCCTGGAGGCTGTAAAATTGATTGTGTCATTATGGCAGAAAGTCTCCAATAGAACCTCAATTCTTCATGGAAGCACTGTGTGCATCAGTAGTCCATGATTTGAGAGTTGAGGAAAGAAACAGAGTTGGACCAGGAGATTGTCCGTGGTCGATCGTGGGCAGGAGGTGGAGGAGGAAGGATGTGGAAGAGCTTGGTGATGTCTCAAGAGGAGGAACTTCTCCTGACTTGAGCAACTGGATGAGATATTCTGAATTGAGGCTGACGGTGGTGAGGAGGAAATTAGAAAGTGATGACCATATGTCAGCTAAACAGTTGAAGATGTGAATTTACAGGAGAAGTTCCGGGAACTGGCCAAAGCACTTAGAAGTGGAAAAAACTGAACTAACTTTGTGTCATGTTGAGGACTCAGTGGTCTCCTTCTTTAGAAGCATAAGTTAATGGTGAGGAGACAGGTGCCCCACAGACCACAATTGACACTTTCTTCGAGAAAGTAAAAGGCAGAGGGAACAAGATGCTAGCCGCAGCCTTCCACTAAGAGGAGGATGATGCTAGCCTCAGCCTTCCACTTCAGAAGGAGAGGATCTGTTCATGGTGGAGAATCTGTCCAGTCCAAAGGTTCTGGCATTTCATGGAAGGTGACTCACCTTCCAAAAAACTGATAAAAATGCTATATCACACTCCACTTCCTTCTCTTCTCCCTTCTCCTCCACCTCCACTTCAATGCATCATCATCATCATCATCCAGGAGCCTTCTACACTACCTCAAAGTAAGTAGAATTTTTCTACCATTTTGTTGAAGTTAGAAATTTTCGGTCGGTGAGCTGGAACCAATTACCCAAAAACCCATTGAAACAATGGTTTCGGTTAACGAACGGTTAACGAACGACCTTCTGGAACGGATTGAGTTCGTTAACGGAGGGGTACTGTATATATATATATATATATATATATATATATATATATATATATATATATATATATATATATATATATATATATAGATAGATAGATAGATAGATAGATAGATAGATGGATAGATGATGATAGATAGATAGATAGATAGATAGATAGATATAGATAGATAGATAGATAGATAGATAGATAGATAGATAGATAGATAGATAGATAGATAGATAGATAGATAGATAGATAGATATATATATATATATATATATATATATATATATATATATATATATATATATATATATATATATATATATATTATATATAAATTCTTCACTAACGCTGTCAATTGAACCCAGAGGTCCATGAAGTAAATCAGTTAAGAACAACAGAACATATGGGATTAATTCAATAGAAACCGGCCTGACCCCAAACTCCACTTTTGGAAGGCACATACCTATGTTGTAGTAAAATAACATCTATTTTATGATGGTACATGCACACAATTAATACTTAAGAGAAATACAGTAGCTGTTAATGTCTATTCAAATAATGGACTCAACTCCCTCCTCTCACATATGCCACTGGCTCTTCCTCTCAGAGAAATTTTGGGGAAAACCACTAAATTTTAATAAATAATACCAAACTAAAGTTAGATAATACAATTGACATATCTGTAAGACTAGGAATATTGAATATAAATGTCATATATTTTGCACAAAAGATAACATAGTTAATTTGAGAAAAAAATTTATCTAAAATTTGTATGTCTAATGCAAAATATGATGTTTATATTCAAAATGATCATCAAATTATAAGAATTCCAGCAATGTAAATTATATTCAGACTGGATAATTTGTATGAATTTTATGAGCTAAAACAAATATCTTCAGTTAATAAAAAAAAAAAAATTTTCACAGGGTAACAGATGGTCGGCCTGTCCCTCCCTCCCCCACCCCCACCAACCGCCCCAAGGAGATGTGATAACCACTAAATTTTAATAAATAATACCAAATTAAAGTTAGATAATATAATTGACATTGCGGGATTCCTTTGTAAGATAGGAATATTTGAATATAAATGTCATATATTTTGCACAAAAGATAACTATAGTTAATTTGAGAAAAATTTTTATCTAAAATTTGTATGTCTAATGCAAAAATATGATGTTTATTCAAATGATCACCAAAAGAATTTCAGCAATGTAAATTATATTCTGGCCGGTAATTTGTATGAATTTTATGAGCTAAAACAGGCAGTCAGGCAGGGTGGGCAAATCTAAAATAGCGTCTGCATGGACACTGCGTATATGTGGAAAAAACGTTAAGTGAAAGTTCATCAGAGGCACCGCGTATATGATAAAACGCGTTATGAAACCGTTAGGCGGGAATACTATATATATATATATATATATATATATATATATATATATATATATATATATATATATATATATATATATATATATATATACAGTATAGTCTGGCTTTAAGCAGTTTTTGTTTACACATTTGGTCATTTATGCGGTGCCTTACCAGAATGAAATGTTTTAATACGAGGTAAATTTCATCATTTACCCTAGAAGTGGCGCAGGCAGGGTGCGCACAAGATCACCCAGTCATCAAAACATTACCGAGTTCTTCACCCGCCACCCACCACAGCCGGCCCAAGTCAGTGAGAGTCGCCACCCACCACAGCCGGCCCAAGTCAGTGAGAGTGATAGTGAGGATATGGACATTGAGGGATTTTGACAAAGAGGCCCTGTAAGCCTCTGTGGTGGATAGTGATACAATTGATACAAGTGATACAGGTGAGGGCCAATAATCTGCCCTCTGCCTCGGAACCAACCCCCCATCCCCGTGTGCCCAGCCATCTTTTCTACTAATGTAAGTGTTAAAAAACCTAATAATATTGATATATCTCTTAAATAATAATTGCGTGTGCATACCATCATAAAATTAAGATGTTATTTTTACTACAACGTACGTATTGTGTCGGAAAAAGTGTAGTTTGGGGGTCGGCCCAGTCTCTATTTCAATTAATCCCATATGTTCTGTTATTTCGTTTAGGCGTTTCTCGTTTTACGCGGACCTCCATGGGTTCAATTGACCGCGTAAATGTAGACTATACTGGGTGGGTGGGTGGGTGGGTGTGTGTGTGTGTGTGCTGTTAACCACATAGGAAAAAAGTAAACACGAAGTTCCCAAGTGCGTTCGTGTAAATCACATCTTCAGGGGCAAGTGCAGACTAAAGAGTAGTTACTGACAAGGCTAATATATACAGATATTGTTTGATATTAAGAAAAGAAAAAAAAGAAAGTGGAACAATCAATGATTACCACTCTTTTGGAGATGAAATGAAGGAGGGAGAGGGAAGTGTGTACGAGTACAGTAAACTTCATCAAAGACCAAAATATTCAAAGAGGGGGACAACTCACCTATATTATCCAAAACATACTGCAAGGATGTGGCTGCCCCTTTTATATCACCAGTGATGAACTTGAGGCGAGCAGAGAGTGTGAGCGCAGCAAGAAGAGCAGGGCAGGCACGAGTGATGGCTTCAAGCACTAACAATGTCCGCTTCACTACTGCAGGTATGCTGTTCTCTATACCTTCTGCTGGGTTTGGCTAATACAGTAGAGAGAAAGTAAAAGCTGTGCATTAGGAATATATAGCAAACAGATACAGAAGTAGATAAAAAAAAAAGCTGAGATCTGTGGGAACAAGAAAATAGGAAGGAAATTTAAGAAGAAAACAGGTTGGGATGAGAGGTCGGCAGTGCAAGCTATTTATGGAGTGAAAGAAAGTAAAAGTGGGTCCCTTAAGCATGACTACATGTTAGCGACAGTGTGGATACAGCACACTGTATAACAAGCCTTCAATACACAAGGAGGCAGTATGGTCGGCACTGCGCTCAACCGCATTCACTTCCCTAAGTTGTAAGATTAGGTACCCATTTACAGCTGGGTGAATCGGGAGTGCCCAGGAATCGAATAACCGACCCCTGGAACAGGAGGCGAGTGCTGTATCCACTTGACCACCATGTTCCTACTGAAGGAGTAGAGAAAGGTATATGAGTGCCAGCTGTAGGCAAAGAGTGATGAAAGAAGGGGAGAGTACAGAAAGCTGAGAGGAGAAGGAAGGAAGATGTACAAAAAGTGCAAATGTAAAATGATAAAACAGGTTATCACAATGTTTTAAAGACAATAATAACCTGTTCTGGAAGAAGGAAAATTGGGTAAGTAAGAAAAAATGGAAATGGGAGTTAAGAATAAAAGAGGGAAACATACTGCAAAGTAAAGAAGTAATAAAATGATGGAGAGAATGATCCGAGCTGCCAAGCTGCTCAACATAAGAGGAAAAAGAGGAGCTACCTAATTGGGATGAAGAGGGATGAAAACAATTAAAAAGAAAGAGAAAAACCACAAGTGAGGAGAAGAAGTGAAAGGATATAAGTAATCATTCTTAAAAATGGTAATGCTTCAAGAGTGGAATGAATCACAGGAAATTTTAAAGAGGCAAGCTGAAAAGAAATTGTCGGGTTAATGAATGTATAAGTAATGTGAAGAAATGAACAATTTTATGAAACTGAAAATTATGTATCAAGAAACAGTCCAATAGTCTGCTTTTCTTTGATACTGTGTAAATTTCTAATACAGACAAAATGTTGCCAAATGTTGGAAATTAAATGAAAGTATCGTCGAAAATCACGGGACCCAAAAATAGCTGATCTGGCTATCACAGTAGCCTCAATTGCAACCATGTGTACGCTTATCATTGACTGATCTGGGTTATCGCGGAATTATCATGGGACAGCGGCGGGTTTGCAAGAGCCAGCAGTAGCAGTGAATGGCAAGAGATGGCATCACGGCTCGTGGCGCCAGCTTCCAACGATAGCATTTGTTCCCACCATGTTTTGGTTGGTGTTTGAAGATGGTTTCCTGCTCTGTGCTTTTTTTTTTGGTACAATTTTTGTAACTTTTGCTTACCCTCCACCATGGCACCTATGAACAAGAAGAGTGTTAAGGTTCCTAATCCAGCCAAGCGACGAAGACGTGTATATTCTCTGTTTGAATGTTCCCATGTTCCCAACATGGATAAGCATGCATTTGGCAACACACCCATTACATGTTACCACTTCCTTTCACTCCACCTCTCTAATCACCTCCACCTTTAACTTTCTCATTCCATAATTTAAAATTTATGTAACATACTGTGGAAGGAATATGACGTTGTTCATTTATACTTACACTCAATTTTGTGGGTAGACATCAGCTGTTCAGTTGTGTCTGGCAGTGTTACTAAACAAACCTATTGATGCACCATCTCCTTACCACTTAACACAATCTCCCCCTCCATGATCACCACCACTAGCTCTATTATCACCACCTAAATCACAATTTCACAAATGGATTTGCTTTAGCCAGAGCAGATTAGCATGATATCTACTGCCTCCCACCAACTTCCAACCTTCCCAGCCACTGCGTCTGACTGACACTGCCTCTCACTCATTTTCCTATGACTGTCATTCATGATACAATATTGTACAGTATGGTACATTGTTTATTTGTTAATCATTAACCCCTACACCCCGGGTGACATATTAAGACACCCGACTAGTGCGCCACGGGTGATGTACCAAGACGCACGCCTTTTCCCGCCACTGTTTAAATGACCAGCGCGGGAAATCAGGTTCCAGCATGACTATTTGCCTGTCATGCCAAACGCTCGGCCACAGGGAAGCTTCCTGAGCATAATTACCAACTTTTGTTTGTTTCATTGTTTGTCCATTTTATCATGTTGTATCAAAATAATATTGCTAAAAGTAGTGAAGTTGTATTGTAGTGTAGTATTATGTTAGATGTGTATTTATTTGTGGAATTATTATTATTTTACTCATTACCGTATATCACGGCCTATAAGACGAAATTTGAACATTAAAAAAATCTGCCCAAAGTTAGGGGGTCGTCTAAACCACCAAGTTTAAAATTCTTACCTCTTAAATATTGTGGTTTAGTGTGTCAAGAGTGGTGATGAAAACATCGTAAGCCACTCACAAGGTCTTACCACTAATTATTTTATACTGAAACTTACGTTTGGCAAGCTGGATTCAAATTAAGAATACCGGTATATTAAAATAATAAAAATGTATTATAAACCTGTCTAACATACCGTAAAAGAGATTTATACCCCTATAATAAACACAGCTATCATCACACACCCCTCCCCACGCCCCCCCCATTTGCCAGTGAGGAGACAAGAAAGGGAAAGTGACCGCGAGATTGGGCTATTTTTAGCCGTGGAGGTGGTCAGTAATGCATACCGGTATCGGTATATTTACTCATAATAATATTTATCTCCTATAAATAATTGATTTAAATTTTATTTTTTTCCAAAGAATATTCAGTAAATGAGTGCATTAATTCTTGAAACTATCGACGGTTAATTACAGACGCTCAAGTGACGTCACTAGTGTTTACACTACACCAGCTGGTAATATTTGATGCCATTACTTGAAGTGAATTGGCCTTATTTTAAGTAACTAACTATAAATAAATACAAAAATTAAAAAAAAAGATCAAAACTGAGAAATAATATACTGTATGTATGTTGTGTTGTCAAAGTAAGAGGAACAATTGTGTAAGTACGTAATATTTTTTCACTCAAATCCTAATGAAACACTACTGGAGAACATTCCTTTGTCGCAAAACAGTTTATAAATTAAAGAAAATAATTACAGTGTGTTTAATATATTACAGTATATTATAAATAAATAAATAAAACAAATAATTCGGTAAATCTATTTAAAGTAAATGGAAAATAAGCAAACATGTTATTTACCAAGACCCTTCCGTCTGGCTCAGGGTGAGATGTAGGGGAGATAAAGAAGGCTATTTATAGCCCATCAGAAGTGACCAGTACCCTAATGCACCATAAATAATTCATTGAACATTCATTTTTTGTACATAGTATATTCAGTATATATATATATATATATATATATATATATATATATATATATATATATATATATATATATATATATATATATATATATATGTGTAATAAATGTATGTAGTAAGTACATACTGGTAACCTTTTTCACTCAAATCCTAATGAAACACCACAATTAGAATACGGTGGTTGCTGTTGAACCACATGTTGTATAAATAGTCACACCACCGAGACGAGGGAACACTCCCAACACGCTTCAGTGACGTCACTAGTGTTTACACTACACCAGCGGGTATAATTTGATGACATTACTTGAAGTGAATTGGCCTTATTTTAAAAAATCAAGGATGGTTGGTAAAGGACTACTGAGTCAGTGGGTAAGTGTCACATTTGGGGTACTGGTCTTATACAGCAAATAGAGCTCAAAAGCTACTTTTTAAATGGAAATTTGGGGGGGGCGTCTTATGCACCCCGCCGCCTTATAGGCCGTGATATACGGTACTTGCTCTACCAAACACGAAGGCAGCCAGACAGCCTGGCGATCGACTGCGTGTGTGTTGCCAAGCACTTTTTATGAAAAATAATGCATATAAAATATTCTAAATGAATTACTTATAGCAAATACATATTATGATCAGTAAATATATGCATTACTGGCCATCTTGGGCACAAAGGCAAGCTAGAAATAGCTGGTAAGTGCATAGGTGCCAACGAGCATCAGCTGAAGGGTCAAGACATACCTAGCACTCCTCTCGGAGCAGCCAGGTCAACTGTTAAGTTGGCCCATACCAACTCCCTCCCCTGAACCCTCCTCCCCACCGGAATATCAACAAGTTCTCGCCAGAAGTTACTATTTAACTTAGGAAAGGAATGGAACCAGTGTTAAACAGAGGTGAACAGTGGTGAACAGTGCTTAAGTCAGTGAGAACAACTCAACAGTAACAGTCGTACCCAAGTTAACCTTCACACAGTGAGGTACCAGGTACCCAGTGATAACGGCCCGTGAGACCCAACAACCAGCCATGTGTTAATCCATCTACGATAGGAAGGCCTGGGACCACACCTCACTCATATAACACCATCTGTGAGGGAATTACTACACCACGTCAGGTCCCTCATAACACCATATGTGAAGGAGTTACTACACCACGTGAGGCCCCTCATAACACCATCTGTGAGGGAATTATTACACCACGTGAGGCCCCTCATAACACCATCTGTGAGGGAATTACTGAGGCCCCTCAAACACCATCTGTGAGGGAATTACTACAGAGGCCCCTCATAACACCATCTGTGAGGGAATGAGGCCCCGCATAACACCATCTGTGAATTACTACACCACGTGAGGCCCTCATAACACCATCTGTGAGGGAATTACTACACCACGTGAGGCCCCTCATAACACCACCTGTGACGGAATTACTACACCACGTGAGGCCCCTCATAACACCATCTGTGAGGGAATTACTACACCACGTGAGGCCCCTCATAACACCATCTGTGAGGGAACTACTACACCACGTGAGGTCCCTCCTAACACCATCTGGGAGGGAGTTACTACACTACGAGTTTGCTGTTCAACACCTACAATAATCTGTATGTTCACTGTATGTTCCTTTACCTTTCTCTAGTGAAGGCTTTTGTTAAACCACCAATGTATGTAATAAGTCATT